AGGTCAATAGCACTAGGAAGTGCGGTAGACAAGAAGAACCGGTGGTTGGGGACAGGCTACTGATGTCAATGACATGATACAGGGGGACAGGCTACTGACGTCAATGACATGACGAAGAACTGGGGTGGCTTGTTAGATTTCTCTTGATCGTAGAGATGAGTGGCTTCCATGACCTGTTGAGACTGAACCCTGTTTCCTTGTTCATGTTGTTTGGATGGAGCTCGATCTCAACGGCCTCCAGGATTATGCGATCTAGGTACCGGCTCTTGCTGGTGATTATGGCGGTTTTGTGAAACTGGATACGGTGGTCTAGATCGATGCTGTGTTCAGCTACGGCTGACTTGTCCGGATGTTCTAATCGTATATGCCTAAACCCAGAAGACGACTTTCTTCATTGTCATCGCCGTGAAAACCTCAAAACTTACATATGGCCTACTTGTTCATGTAGTTAGTGAAAGCACTTCAGGCTATATTGGAAATTTAGAAATTTATTCTGGTGAAGGTAAAAAATTACAAGAAACTACTGTTTCCATTTGGAACCCTATCTTGATCAAAATTACCATGTCTATCAAGACAATTATTATAACGATGTGGTAACTGCAGAATACCGTCTTTTGAGAAAAGTACGTGTTTGTGGAACAATTAGGGTGAACAGAGGCCTTCCTCCAGATCTGAAACAGGAATCTAAATCCCTGAAATATGGTGAAACCACATTCAGGAGGAAGGGGGATATTCTTCAGTCCTGGAGGGATACTGGTGTTGTGAATATGATTTCCACAATTCACAATTTGAGCATGGTTGATGTTCAAAGGAGACATGGACAGGTAAGGAAGCCTATATGTATTTCTGAGTATAATATGTTCATGAAGGGAGTTGACAGAGCCAATCAATACTTGGCCTATTATTCTCTTCCTAGGAAAACAACAAAATGGACAAAGAAAGTTGCCTTGTGGCTTATAAATTGTGCCATTTTCAATTCATTTTTTGTTTACAAAAATCTAAACCCTCATTCAAAATTGAAATACAAAGCATTTCTGATGAATGTGGCAAAGGCCTGGGCTACAGACCAGATGGTGGCAGCAGAACAAGAGTCAGACACAGACTTCGTGTGACTGGGCCCATCAACTCCCAACCCATGCATGCCTCATGTGGACCCCCATGGGTGACTCTCCAGTGATATGCGGAAACATACCCTCGTGAAAATTGTGAAGAGTGAACATTCCAAGGGGAAGCATCCTTCTAGGCAATGCCGTGTTAGCGCAGGGGGGGGGGGAAGGGAGTATGACTGCCTACATTTGCAAGTTATGTGCAATGCCACTTCACAAAGGGGAATGTTTCCAGAAATATCACATTCTCAAGCACTTCTAGGAGCATTGGTAACTGTTCTCCAAAAATTTTAGTTCATAAAATTAATTAGAAGATTTTATATTAATTTTTAAAGTGAACAGTGCACAATTTAGGGTACTAGGTTTAAAAATGACGGTCCCCAGGGTGATTTAAATACTTAAACTGCTGGTCCACGATGTGTTAAGATGTGTTCATGTATGGCAAAACCTTCACTTCTTATACATCACTTCAGATTTTCATGAGTTTCATTATTTCCTGGCAACTCGAATGCATCATTTGATACTTATTGACAGAAAACTTCAAGAGCAACTTCAGCTTCAAGAAGGGGTACATAACTGACATAGGTGTCCGGAGATAGGGACTAACTCTATCAACTGGGTCCAACTGAGTAGGTTTTACCTGAAGACAGAGACAGAATCCAGTCTCTGAAGCACTGTTTTGAAAAAGAAACAGGACAGTTTTTAGATATAGACAAGATGATGGATAATGTCCAAAAATATAATATTTGTACCAATGTACATTGTCACAAACTTTTAGATTTTAAAGAAATGCTGTCTTAACTTACTCAATTTTGGATGCCATCCCCTTCAAAATAGTCTCCTTGGGAACATATACAGTGATACCATCATTTTTTCCACACTTCAAAAGCACCGTGGAAGTAATTTTCCTTCATGCTCTCGAGTACCACTTGCAGTTTTTGGATGTCAGGCACTGTTTCAAAATGTTGTCCCCTCAGTTTCATTTTCAGTTTTGGATACAAAGTGCAATCACAGGGGGTTAAGTCCAATACGTAAGGAGGATGGGGAAGGATAACCATGTTGTTAGTCACAAACTCTGTGGTTTTCAGGGATGTGTGGGGGGGTGCATTGTCATGACGAAGGAGCCACTTGTGGTTGCGCCAAAGTTCCAGTCTTTTTTGTCGCACATTTTCTCTCAAACATCTTAAAATGTCACAGTAAAAGTCAGAGTTGACCATACTGGTAGTGTTAGGAGGAACTAATTCATGGTGAACAATCCCCTTCATGTCAAGAACAAACAATGAGCATGTTCTTAGTTGAACTCCAGACCTGTCATGCTTTTTCGCTCTTGATTGTGGGCTTGCCCACTGCAATGACTGTTGCTTTGTTTCTGGATCATAACCATAAATCCAACTTATGTCACCCATTACGATCCTAGAGATAAAAGTTGGGTTCTCATTAACCTTCTCTCATAGCTCAAGACACATGTTTAAGCGCTGCTGCTTTTTATCATTTGTCAAGAGTAGGGGAACAAATTCGGGGCAATGCGCCATGTTCTAATTTTCTGTTAAGATCTCCTGGAAAACTCCATAACTGGCCCCAGTGGTGTCTACGAGCTCATGGATTGCTGGGTGACAGTCTTTGTGGACAGGTTCTCATATCTTTTCAACATTTTCTGTCATTTTGCTGGTGCTTCATTGCCCTGAACAATTGTCATCTTCAACCGACACTCAACCGGCTTTGAAACATGAATGCTGTTCAAAAAATGCTGTCCAGCTTAAAGAATGTCCTACAAAAGCCTCATGAAGCATTTCAAGGGTTTCGGCAGCAGATTTACCGAGCTTCACGCGAAACTTGATGCAGACATGTTGCTTGATTTTTCCATCCATCACAAGCAAAATACAAAGTCAAAAAAAGCATTTGTATAAAAACAATGCATGTTCACAGTGCAGAGTCACATGGCAGACTAATGCAATAGACTTGTGGAAGTGTGACCTTGGCCTCCCCTCTCATCTTCCTGCACAGAGGCAGTTACAACAGTAGCAGTCCGGGAACTGCTCTAGTTATAAAAAGTATCAAAGTCTATAGTTTGGATTGCATATCTGTCAAAATTTTATGCATAATGTGATTTTAATGCCTTCATAACTCCTTGGTCTATAGCCTGCACAACTTATGTGGCGTTAAGAGACGAGAACATTACCTCAGCATCAGGATGACTGGAGTGTTTTGCGGTCATGGCCTGGGGCAGACTGTGTATATTCAAATTTTCCTGTGTTCAGGAAATCATTGTTTGCTCTTTGCTTTTGCATGTATAAACAAGTAATGGACAAGAGTTTACTGTGTCACAAAAATGAGTTTAACTTAAGGTAAGGTTTGGCTATTATTTTATGGTTCTGTACCAAATTCAAAGAGTTATATGGCACTGGATGTGAAATGACTGGATGGTTATGAATGATGAATCAGAGAGGGCACAGGAAAAAGTAGACCCGGACTATTTTAACTCTATTATGCCAGGACATATGTGGAACAAACTGTTGGACACCACAGAAACCTCTGTGACAATAGCCAAGTCTCAAAGTGGATAATGAATATGTTCAAGACAGCCAATTCCGTTTTCCAAGTGTTAACATTCATAAAAAAGAATAAAATTTACACACCTGCTTTGCTCGAACATTGACATCAGCAAGCTGAAACAAGCGACGGATCACTTGCCGATGTGTCTCTGAACGAACTTGAGCCAATGATACAAGCATCACACAAGTGTAACCGGCAGCATTTGGTCTGTTGATGTTACACACCTTTGAATCCAGCAGAATAGAGACTACATCAAAATTTCCATGAGACACTGCATAATGCATTGCAGTATTTCCCTGTAATTAAACATATTTGTTACATCATTATTTCTGAACACATTTATCTGGAAAATATTAATACAAACACTCTTATACAAATGTCTGTATATGCATGACACATACTGTATGTGTGAAAACATGAACTAAACCTACAATAACAAAACGAACCCATTATTTTGTGTAATTAAGTATAAAGTTAAACTATACTAGGCATGTGCAAGAATGAGAGATCAACATAGGAATTTGGGGAAATTTAAAAAATTGAGACAAAACAAGCACATGTTTTAGTAGACCAGTTTCATTTCAATAAATTATAATACTAGCAACTTCTAAGCCTGCTGCTGTATTTATCTGAAGAGAAGATAATTCTCAATGTATGACAACCCCACACTAGGAAATGTGCACAGAAAAGACAAATTTATGAATCAATTTCATGCTCTTATTATGAACATGTAAAAGGAAATAATATTAGAAAATATTGTGGCATATTGGCTCTATGCAGGAACTGATGAGCCACAGAGGCCTCGGGGCATGCGCACAATGTGAGAGTTGTGGATTGTATCGGTGCATTGATAGGTGACAACTCTGTGAATGCTTGGATTGCGCAACAGTGACAACACATACGGCACTCATTCCATAACTGTGCAATGTTTGGTAACCTCCCCCCCCATGATGTAACAGCATAGGAGCTGTAACAGGGGACACCGCTGTTACCACAGGGCAACAGGGAACAGTATAAGAGACCAGCTGAGTGGTGTGTGAGACAGTGTGGATTGTGAAGCCAGACAGAAGGGAGTTGAAATGTAGCAGCCACCGAAGCCAGTTACTAGAGAGAGAGTCACTAGTATCCAGTATTCAGTACGAGTTGGAAGTCCACCAGCTACGAGTTGAGTTGTATCGAGTGAATGGAAGTGACTGCAGCAGCAGAAGTAATTGTGATACTGCAGATGGCAGTAACTGTGTAATTGTGAATTGTGTTAAGTGTAAGAGCGAGTGTGGAATAAATTCGCTAGATCCAAAATGGCGTGAAGTTATTTGTCGCGCTACATACCAAACACGTGACAATATGTTATACTTGACATTTGTTGAGTCAGTTTCCTTCTTGAAGTCACTAGTTTTTATTCAGCATCACTGGTCTCACTCTATGCACCATTCCTATCATTTGTCCCAGTGTCTTCACAATTCCCACCCTGTGTGTCATAGTCACTGCTCACATTCTCATGCTCACTGAAAAACTTTCCCAAATTCTTCCTCATCTCCTTTCTGGCCTTGAAACATAGTTCTGTTTCTCTTGCTTTCTTACTTGCTACTCTCACAGCATGACAGTGAAGATCATGCAGCACATACTAAAAGCAACTGGTATATTTTTCCAATGAGTTCTTTCCCTCTCTTTCCAGAATTACACAACTACCCATCATGAATTTGAGTGCTAAATATGTGTATGTACTAGTTGTTTCCAATCAATTTTAACATCAAACCCTGAGACACAAAGCAAATGCAATTATCAAAAAATTCTCGAAGTTCAGGGCTGAAAAACGAACATTTTAACTGTCATTGAGAAATTCTTTGATTTTATTCTGAAATTTTAATACTTCCACATGCCTAATAACTACTCGAAGATTACTGAACCAGTCTCAATAATTCAAAGCATATGAGTCAGCTTATTAAAACTAAAACAGTTTGTTCCACATATAAACTTCCAAAATAAAGATATAAATCTGTTACTGAGCACCATGTACACAAACCAACCAGATTACATGTAATTCTGTAATTCATCTAGTGTCATCAACTTTCGTTTCTATTATAAACTAGCTGTACCCAGCCACGTGTTGCTGTGGCTTAGTCTGCCCATTCTTCCCCAGTTTGATTTGCAATTACTCGTCGCACTGCTTCCGCTCCGCAAGTATGACGACCTAAGTTTGATCTTCTGCGAGGCATTATTTGGATGAACTAAAGCAGATTGATTGCACCGAAGAAGAGGAAAGAAAGTTATAACAAAAACATATAAAATGGCAAAAGGAAAGAACACGACCTGGAAAACAAAGAAGAAACAAAAAAATAAAAAATACTAACGAAATATTTCAAGTCAAACGCAGATCAATGGACACAGCTCAATTCACCGCCAATTGCACTGAAAAATAAGGAAAATAGTTAAGAAAACGAATGAAAAACAATGAAAGAAGGAAAAAATAAACTATACTCACGAAATGAACGCTATGGTAAACGACACAGCTCAATTCCAATGTGGATGTGAGGAGTTGCACGTGTCAGTAATGCACGTAGCACGTTTGGTATGTCACGCTACAAATAACTTTACGTCGTATTAATTATAGCGAATCCTTATTGTAATTCACTTGCACACTTTACAATTATCGCCACTTGCAGTATTAGAGTTACTGGTTACACAATCTCTCGGCCAAAAACTTCTGTATCTCTTGGCGTCTAGGGTCCAACTTTCTTCAGCGGCAGCTATTCCAAGACTGACTGGGCGAATGAATTCAACCCCCTTTAATACCCTCGGCCGCTGCTATGCAAATGAGCCCCTGTTATAACTGTGGAAATGCTGCTTTGTTGATTCCATGATTCCTACGCAACGACCCATTGTTATTGCGTTGTCTCTGTGGGAACGCTCCGTGTATTCGTCGTAACCATGGAGATTCGACACAGTATCGCTATTGTTACTTCCTATGCAACGGTCGGTTCTAGCGTTTCCATAGGGGTGACTCTTCTGAATTCCAAATTCCAATTCTGTTTTTCAAAAGACACATGTTTTTACCTGTCACGGGTGTGACATCTATATAATGGGTATATAAAAACACGCGCGCATTCGAATGCAACATTGTGTCAAAATTTCGAAGCAATCGGTGAAGAACTTTCGGAGATTTTCGAGGGGTAACAAACGAACATTTACATTTTTATTTATATAGATTTGGACAATGTCTGGCATTAAGGAAACTAGGTAAAGAAGAAATTAACAGGTTTAACCTGGTTTATTTTCATTATGAAAACTAAGTGCAATATCGTGATGAATTACTTCATGAAAATCCATTCCTAGAATTACAAGAAATGTGAAGTTTTGTATCTATACAGTAAGCCATGAAAGAATACTGTAACAGATGTAGAGGTAATGATACACACATTCCCAACAATATCACTAAATTAGAATCAGCAGTTTAGTTCACTACATGTCATCACCTTTATAGAAAGACTTGCATGACTTCTGTTGGTGGTGGTGGTGGGGGGGGGAATGCTGTCATCTGCTCCATTGCAGACTATTTACTAACCAGGCTCTCACTGCTCTCTGATATGACCTAATTCTTCAATGCATGGTATGAAGGACTTAAGTCATTTATGCCAACAATATATACACAGAAGAGTTCTATCTTCTGATATATACAGTAGAACTTGGTTATAACATCATCAAAGGGACCTAAAAATAGTGTCGTTATAAACGAATGTTGTTGTAACCGAAATGGGCACTTCCACAGTAGCCTTATGTTAGTCACGCAAAAATCTACCAAAAACCGAGTTAAAATGTTGCATTTTTTAGTGAAATATGTAGTTAAGTACAGACTAACGTAACATTAACGTGGAATTGCCCAAATGTGTAATAT